AAAGTACGAACATATGGATTTACAATAGATGATAGAAGATTTTTATTTGTTTCTAAATCAAGATTAAATAATTTAATGAATTCATAATCAGTTTCTGTTGATTTATTAAGAGATTGACGTCTAAACAAAGAGAAAAAAAAATAACAACAAATGTTTGTCTTTTTATTTTATATGAAAAACAAAAAATTCAATAAATTCCTACTCTGTTTGTGTTATTATTGAAACATGAGCTCGATGTTCTGGTATTCGATGATAATGTACTGTTTCTTCAGCATAATGTTCTTCCATACGTGTTGATTGATGTTCATCAACTGTTTCTTCTTTAACGAATGGAAGACAATGTTGTATACTTATTAAATGTTCATTATCCATATCACATTGAACACCTTCTTCATTTCCAGATCGAACAGAACGCGTATATTGATAATATGGTACACTATGATATTCATTAACATCATACCAGGAATGACGACGACGTCGATCAAATGTTGATACGGATGTTTGTCTATATCGTTGTTCAGTTGCTAATATTGAACGACGATTACGACCTGCTGTAAACACTTGAATAGCTGCATCTTGAACTAAATGTGGTTTTCCTCGTTCGACAATAGCACCATCAGCTATAGAAGAGAGACACATGAATTTAAAAAAAACAACAAAAAGAACAAATTTGTCATACCAATTATCCACAATTTGCACATCATAGGTAAACGAGTGGATTCTCCTGGAATATCCCATCGAATAACATCCGATGTATCACAATCATCAATTAATGAACCAATACATCTTGCATTTTCTTGTTTAAAAAATGCGTCTGTTTCTCCAATAGTCATCCATGGATCTTTTCCATTAGCAAATGAAAATGATTTTCGTACACTAGTTAAACATTTAACATAAGGTCGAAATGGTACTAATGATATACCACTTTGACGTCGTCGTGGTGGTAATGGACGAATAACAATATTTAAATTATCATTATCAATAGGTTCTGTCGTATTAAGGGTACTCATTTGTTCCATCTTTATCGTGAGAATTTATTTCTTTACTAACATCTGAAATAATCAGATTATTTCATTTTATATATTTGAGTTTTTATAGACAAAAAAAGAAAAAAAATTAAATTGAAATAACTGACTCGAATCACACCTATGAATAAGTATTTGAACAACATGGTTAGTGCAATATGATTATTGAGTCTGTCGATTATTTGTTCATCATTTCTTTTTTTAAAAAGAAAAACAAAATTCAATAGATTTTTTAAAGAAAGAAAAAGAAAAAAAAGTGAATGTTTCTTTTTGATACAAACCGCAAATCAATTTAAATTGCATTACTTCTAGTAGGAAAAAAACACATATGAAACATTTTTTGGTTTTTAATAAACAAACCAATGTTTTAATTTTAGCATAAAAATCCATCAAAATATTGAGACTTGATAAAAACGATTAATACAATATGTTTGTTTTTAACGAAGAATTCAAAAAAAATTTCTATGCATAGTTTTTTAATAGAGCAGTTATGAATTGAAGAAACCATTAAAAAAAGTAATTGAACTACATTATTACAACCCAAGGTTTCTTTTAATTCTGAGAATAAAAAACAAGTTAATCGTTTTCTTTCGATAAATAACAGTTATTAAATGAACAATATTTTACTCTTAAAAACTGAGTATATATGAAGTTTACATACAGTATAAAATATATTTGTTTTTAACTACAAAGTGTAAAACTTATCTGGCTTCAATTTTGTTTTTCTATAGTACTACAGATAATTTGTTATCGTTTTTGATATTCTAAAAATCATGGAATGAGTTTTTCTTTTCATTGTCTCCTATTGTTTTACCTTAGCACAAAGTCAAAATTACAAAACAACGTTACCGCTGAATATTGTAGTATTTCAAATATTATTTTTCTCTATCTACTGTCGTCTGGTTTCATCAACCTACTTCTCTCTTTTCTTTTTTTTTTCGAACATTTTTTTGTAAACCACATAGTTTCTCTCCTTCCCTCTCTCTCTTTTTTTTTTTTATAAAGCGCATTTGACTTAATATTGTTATTGTTATTGTTGAATAGAGTTTACAAACGACGGCAAGTATATGTTAGAAAAAAAAACAAAAAAAAAAAAAAGGTTCTTTAATTGATTCACAAGCATACAAAATGTTTATATACGAAATTGAAATCAACTTTGTCGAGTAGTAACAACATTTATAGAGAAAAGTGGAAAGAATAAAAAATAAAAAGAAACAAAGAAAGTTTTGAAGGATATTTGATCAGAGTAAATATGTTTTAAATTTAATTACATTCAATTATGAGAATTCCTATCTACAATGTTTCATAGGAAAAGAAAAGCTTGACACATTTTAATATATATCAAGTCATTAGATTTCTTCATTTGCTTTGTATAACAACATGAATTGAATGCGTTAGTGAGGACTTGTCAATGTATGCTATGATCTCTGTATGATTGTATTGTCAAATTTCAATTTAGTTTCGCCTTATAGAGGCATCTATGCGAACTAATTTTTAGAAATAGGAAAAATGTAAAGCAAGAAAGAATAAATCATTCAGTTGTGATGTTATTATTGTTAGTAAAATCTTATCATATTTTGAATTTAATTTTTTTATTTATAAATAAGAATTTAATGTCAAAAGATTATTCGTCGAGTATTATATTTAAATAGAAAAATAATTTAATTAAAAAAAGAAGATATTAATAATAAATTGAAGAATGTTTTTTTTTTATATTCTATGGCAATGACATAAAAATCAATGAAATATTCAAAAATATTTTTCATATAAAATTGCTATTTCCTTCTGATTGCACTTTACATAAAATTCATTTGAAAAAAGTTCAACATTGAAACGATTTTAATTTAATGTTAAAATGCAAAAGGTGATACAGTGCGGGCCGTAAAAAGCATGTACTTTTTTGTTTTTACGCA